ATATATATATGTACAGCTATTTATTCATTTCCTGCCTGTCAGTAGGGCGGATATATTTTTGCGGCCGGTTGACAAGGATCCGACGCGGAGAAGGCCTGGTACTCGCCCATGGCCGACAAGGCGCCGGATGACCAGCCGAAGAAGCTGCCAAGGCTCCGAGCGGAAAAGCATCGTTGTGCAGAGTGGGGTTTTGCTCAAAGGTCTAGGCTGTATGGCGAGCAAAGAGAGTAGAGAGTACAGGGCAATTTGCGGCTTGAGGATGCTGTTCAGGGTGAAAGACTAGCGCTACACAAAGGTGCTGCAGGTCGCTGTGAGCCATACTTGTCACAATGGTTGTCACTGGTTTTTTGACGCCAATGCGACACTTCTCCAGTATTTCTTGGTCATTGATATTGGGATCCATGCTGGTTTCATTTGTTCCCCCCACGGGCCACCGGGGCGCTTAGAGGGAGGGAGGTGCTGGAGACGCGGAACTTCCATGAGCAAAGGCGGTCCAAGAGCTGCTGCTCGGAGTGACCCTTTACTGTTCGTTGCGAGTAAAGGCGTCCAAAAAATTGGTCCTTTCACCGATTTTTCGGCTGGCCCCCAACTTGGCTTGGACCATGCGCAGGCCAGGAGGAGACTTGTGGAGGAGTCCATCCCCTTTGGTGCAGGTGCCTTTGACTGGACCGTGGCGTTGGATCCAATCAACAGAATCACTGCCGGCGATGTGTTCTTCGAGTGAACCGTTCCCCGGGCCGACAGCTCGCAGGCCGCGACCTCCAAAGCGGCGCCGCGAAGTCGCGCGCGCGCGGCCGGCCGGCTTGCCGAAAAATGGGCCTGGCCGCATGCGGGGACGGGGGAGGGAGGTGTAGGATGGTCACCGAATGGAACAAATGCGGACTCAAAGCTTGTGTTTCCGGGGTAAGGTCGGGTGTTGCGGCCAAGGCTTGAGCTTTTCCAAACCCTTTGGTTGGAGGCAGGTACTGTTCACCTTTCTAGCGGTAGCCGGATTGGTGCTCGCTACATTGGTTGGGGCATGAGGCAAGAGCTGGAGCCCTGAGTTTCTGGATTGTCCTGCAAGACTATCTTAGTGGATTTGTGTCATTCTACGAAGGAAGTGAGGTGTGCGACTTGCTGATTCGAATCAGCCATACTCGGTCATGAAGCAACTCTATCCAAAAAGGAACTTATGTATCCCTATGAGGATTCTGCGTAACATGTTTAAACCAAGGTTGAACTACACTTCTTGTTCATGATGCATTTATAGTGAATTAGCATATTCAAAGGCTTGTACAAGACGTAGGCCATTGGGGGAGGGCCCAGTAAACTATTTATAAAATTAGGGCACAAATTATACGCACTCATGTTTTGTACACGGCGCCCGCGTCTTGGTCGCAAGCAAAGTCACTAGGCCGATCTCTTCCGGTTCTCTGAACTTCTGATAGCCGTTTGGTGATGGGACAAGCTGCCACCAGGTTTGCAGAAATTCAACCAAGTTGCTCCGGGCTCAGGCCAGCACGAGCTTGCGCCTGCAAACCAAGCCGCGCCAACGAAAACGGACGGAACCCGGCATGGCTCCAACCAAGCCTGCTTCAAGCCCAGGAACATTTCTGCCAATCTTTGCGGCAGCACTTGGACTCCTTCGGAGTCAATAGGAAATGGATGACTTACTGACACTCAAGCTGCCACTTGCAGAAGTTGCTCACGGACAGTGGGCAAGGAACAACACCAGGGCTTTGGCCAGAAGAGATGGCGCTGGTTTCAGTTTTGTTCGAATCACGTACCACTTGGAGACCAGCCAAGCTCAACGGCGTGATGAACACGTTGGCAAGAAAGTGCACAGATTCCGCTGGTAAGCTCGAAGCTTTGTCAAAAAGGCTTTTTGCCCATACAGAGTTGACTGTGAAGTAGGCAACAGGATGTCCATTCACAAAACGTCCTCTGTACTGCTCCTCAGGCTTTTGCAACTTTTCTTGGCTCGAAGTTCCCGTTGACGTTTTGGGGTGATTGCTGCTGGCCTCAGCCGTGACCCTGGAGGCGAGGTGACTGGAGAAAATCCCGAGGATAAGAACTTGAGAAGGGGGCTTGGTGTCCGTAGCTGGGTCACAACCTGCTTTGGGAAGGCCGCTGAAATCCTGCGACATGACACGGGGGTTGTATGAGCATTGGCAACTGGGCGCCTTTTTGTAGGGATAAGGCGCGGTGTCTTTGAGTCTTGGTTTTGGTATGTTTTCTTTGGATTGGCGTGGCCGAGGCTCAAAAAACGGAGGTTTCGCATGGTTTTGTTACTTTCTCCGTGCCCCATACGCAGCCGAAGAAGCCGCCGAGGCGCCGAGCGGAGAAGCGACGTTGTGAGGGGGGAACGTGCCGTGCGGTCTTGGCTGAAGGGGATCGAAAACATTCCAAAGCCTCTAGATTCATTGAATTCAAGTGGAGAGTTGGCATCGTGGCGCGATTTTGTCATGGCATTGTTGCAGCTGGAAGGTGCTGCGCATGTCACTGCCAGCGCCAAAGTGTCTTTTGCTTTGGGTGAAGCTTTCCCCGGGCCGAAAGCTCGCTAAAAATGGGCTGGCCGCGGGTGGGGTCAGGGGAGAGAGGCGTGGGAAGCGGGGGACGGTAGGAGTTGCCCGGAGCAATCCCACTTCGCCGCAGCTGTGTCCAGTTGGATAGGCTTGTAGCGTAGCCCTGGCCGTGCCGACCCTTTGGTTGGAGGCAGGTGCAATGCGACAAATGCTTCAGCTTTGCCGGGCGTCCAACACGTCAGGCAGGAGACCACCAACGCATTCGGTGAGCGGCGACATCTAGAAACCATGTTTTGCTCGCAGGGCGCCCAGTGCTCCAGGGCCAAATTTAGGTTGGACAATATGCTTTGTTATGCTTTGTTACTCCTATGCATGGCAAACAAATTAAATCGCGTCATGTTGTTTGCTCCAAAGGCGCCACAGAAAAGCCACAGGTCCCCACAAGGGTTGCGACGTGACCGCATCGACACGAGGACGTGCTGCTGCGGTGGTGAGATAGCAAACCAAGGCCGCAGCCTTGTGGCTGATGAGCGCTGCATTGCTTTGCATTTGTCAGGCTTTCGTGATGATGGCGAGGCAGGGCAACAAGCAAAACGGGATTCACTTGCGTGCGTGGAGCTTCCTTTGCGGATTTCCATTGCGATGCTTTGTATGGGCTTTCTTGGTTTGCGCCCGTGGGATTGTTTGGATGCGAACTGGCTTACTTCAGCCACTTGGCTGCTGTTTGAGGCTGACGCGGGCAAAACTCCCAGCTGGGGGCTGAGGGGAAGGGACGGAGGCAATGCTTGGATCCATTTATAGTTGGAGGGAGGTCGTCCCCATAGAGGGAAGAAAAGTGGTCAAAATCAGGGCCCTTGCTACTTTCAAAAGAGAGATGGCCACATGTTTGACCTCCATCATTTCCTCATGAAGGGGAGCGACTTGTGAGGTGATGGCCGGGCCGTTGCGGGACACCCAGATCGATTTTTTTGCCAGGCTCACCAAGTGCCTGAACAATTTTAGTGGCAAACAAACTGCTTAGCAGTTTGTGGGAAGCGAGGGATTGAATTGGTTGTACCCTTAATCAGTGGATCTTCTGGAATTTCACTTTCTCTTCAGCAACAAAAGGCTAAGCCTTCTGCAGACCCGGCACTACATCAGTTGGCTAGCTGCTCGCTTTTTCCAGCTTGTGCCAAAACGACACGGAAATCTTCGGTAGGACTGCCATTGGGCAGTTCTATGACCAAGGCCCCGACGAAGCGTGCTGATGAAGCATTAGCTGACGTGGCTCGGACGTGGATTAAGGGAGTGGAACCGGAGGTCGTACCGGGCCGTTCTCGTGAGGGACGTGCTGGAATCTCTGGCCGAAGTCGGGTGATCCCATGCCCAAGAGCCAAGTCGGGTGATCCAAAATTCAAATTCAGATGCCAGACCCAACAGGTTCCTCGCCAGGACACCTCAATGCAGCTTCCCCTCGATCCGCTGGGGGAGAAGGTGGGTGCTTCGGTGAGGCAGTTGGAGCATGTTGGAGATTTGGAACGCAGCCTTCGGATGTTTCGGCAGCCTCCCTGATTTTCTTTGCTTCGTGTTTGGATCCTGGAGATGTCTCCCATTTCGCGTCGTTTCGCAAAGCTCCGGTTCCGGAAAAGCGGAAGCCAGCCAACTTGATTTGATTCCCTGTCAGGGCATCGGCGGAATGGGCCAGGCCAATGGATTTGTGTTGCAATGGCATCGGGGATCCACCAGTTGCTCGTTTTGTTACTTCCCCGCCGAAAAGGGAACCCTTCTTCAAAAGCGCATATTGAGCCATGAGCCATGTGAGCCACAATCAAAACCCGGGTAGATGAAGGTTAGTAAGGGACAATCCGAACCATAAATAGCTGCGGATATCCGCCTTCTTGGTTCTTGAAGCATGGTTCTGGGTCGACTATTTAAATACCGGGGTTTGATTGTGACTCAAGTGCTTTTTGGGAAATGTTGACCCCATATCAATCAACCCCAGTTTATTAATAGGGGGGTGTTCCCTGAAAGTGAGTCTGATTCCCCACGAAATCCAGGATAACCGGAGGTTGATTATGGGTCAACATTCTCTGGTTGGCCCTAGGGTTCAAGCCCTTAAGAATGGGAAGAACCCAATTCAGATGGAAAGGACCCAATGTGACTCTTTGGCCATGGCTGCAGGTCTTTGGCTCGTGTGCTGGGCTCAGCCATAGCCATGGATGGGCCATGGCGCCCTTGGCCCAAGTTCAGGCCGGAAACTGCCGCCCAGGCGCGGGTCGGTGAATCCTTACCCCAGGATTCGTCTGGTTGTCCTGACATTTTTCTTCCAAAGGGCATGAATTGGAACCTCGGATTGGTTTTGCCTTTGTCAAAATCCCCTGAAAAAGGGGGATGATGGAACATCGGACCCAAGCCAAGCCCATGGTCAACTCCAAGGTGCAACCGCTGCTGGAAAATCTCAGCGCGGTGTCCGACTCCGTGCTGGCGGAGTGCGTGTTTTGGCTGCCGGCAGATGCGATGATCGGCCAGGCTCTGCGGCGGGACTCGCAGGCTCGTATCGCAAATGGCCGTCTTGTTTTGGCAGGGCTCCTTGCTTTTTCAACACCAAAATAAAGGGAAACCAACATTTACAAGGCAATGTTCAGGTGTATAATGTAAGGATCCCTGTTTGGGTACCCTCCAATGACGGAAGCTCGCAGGATGGTTTTGGAAGACAACTTTTTACTTTTCGAGGTTTTGCCCTGCCCACTTCCATGATTGTTGGAAACTGGGCACCCATGTTATGAGGGTGACAAGGACAACCAACAGTTTTTGGGGAGGGGGAAGGGTGTGTGTGTCTCGTCCCTTCAACAAGGACACGCCCGTGGGTTGCTTTCCCAGACTTGCTAAATCTTATTTTTGAAAGATACCGCAAAGGAAAAGCATGGTCTGCTCCCCCCCGAACAAAACAAACAAAAGAACGTGAAGAGAGCTGGAGAATCGCTGCACACTGCTCCTCCAAGCCGCCAGCCCAGCGCCTGAGTCGCCAGGTGCTGCGCTGCTTCTTGCGCGCCCTGGCCAAGGCGTCGCAGGGCTGCCACAGCGCGGCGTACGCGAAGCTGGCCTCGGAGCTGCAGCTCGTTGGCCTGGCGCACGGAAATGCGGCCTTGGCCGCCAGGCCCTGGCCGGGATCGGTTGGGGGGTTGGGGGGGACCTGGAGACGGGGAAAGCAGCACGGTTGGACCCCAAGGACTTGGATGTGTTCGTGTTTTTTTTTTCGTCGGGTGGGTGGGATTTTTTTGGTTGGGTGGGGTCGGGGAGGGGAAAAAAGACAACGTTTGTACTTATTTTGCAGGTGGAATCGCATCATTAGAGGGTTTCTTGGTAGTGCAGGATTTCGTCCATCCACGCAAGAAGATTTGACCAATGGAATTTGGGGGGACCTCGCTCAGGAGTTTGGGGACTTTAAAAGGCACCTTTTCGGGTTTGCACCGGTTTAGAACAAAAAGTCTCCGAGCGTTTTGGGTCAATTCATTTCAGGAAGTGAGGCTCACTTGCCCAAAGCCCAGCGCAATGAGACTCAGTCGGCCAAAGCCGAGCGTTTTTGACCGTTTGGCGGCGTATATGTCCAGATCCTTTGAGCAAGTGAGAGGGGCCAAGTCAGTTTGAATGATATTCCCCTGCCATGGCAAAAGGTAGTGATAAGGAACCCTACAACCAGATTCTAATGAAGTTATCGCTTGAACACGAGTTGTCAATCTTGGACATTGACTCAACGACGGAGGCTGCCACGAAATCGGTGTTTCGACTCGGCGACCATGGCAAGATATGGCAAGTGTAAATCCCCCTTGTCTTCAAAAGTGATTCAGTAGCCATGATGGGCGTCGACCACTTTGGTATCACAAGGGTTACACAGTGCTGCAGGGCAGAAGAGGCCGCTGAGACCCTCCAGTCTGCGGACCTGCCCACGGCAGCGGATCTGTTTTGGGCCTACCTTACTGCAAAAGCTCCGGAGATTGCATTTCTGGAGGCGCTGGAGCAGCTGGCCTTGCCAATCAGTGAGCCGCAAGGCATGCAACTGAGGGACATGCAAAACGCCGTGGCGGCCCTTCTTTGCGGGCTGGCGCAGCCTCAGATTTCAGCTGTTTTCAGCACTCCGCGCCTACTAAAGCTAGCAGATCGCTGGGCATGCTGCTTGGGTGGCGCAGCGCTTCCTACCCAGACCCTGCCACGTCTTGCTCTGGCCCTGTCGGAGCTCCTGCAGCTCCAGCTCAGAAGCCTTGAGCAAATAGACGTGACCAACATCGCGACCGCCTTGTTCACCGTGACGACAGCACAGAAACAGCACTCGACTTTGGAAGACCTCGCTGATTTCGCCGTTGCCCTGGCCTTGGCTAAGCGTCTCAATGATGCCGCCCTTTGGGAGATCCAAGAGGAGGTAGGTCGGCGCTTGGATGGGGCGCGGGCGGAACCGCGGGCATCCCCTGGCTGCCTGGTGCAGCTGCGGCAGGCTGTGGGTAGAGTTCCGGCCGGCAGCCGCGGCCTTCTGGGGGAGTTCCACATGGTCTCAGGCCAGGGTTCAATCAGAGCCTTTCAGCACTAGTGCTTCCATCCCAACTGGTGGATGTTGTCCATCTACAGTATCCCCCACCTTTGGATCGTTTGGATGAATCTGCCAGGCCGGTGGCGCTTTTGGCCAGAGGTACAAAGTTTGGACGCCGTGGATGTGTGGGAGGAGGAGCTGCTGCTGCTGGATGGTGGGAAGCGGCCCGCCAGGTGTTGCCAAAACTGCTGGCAGTTGGCGGAGCTCTTCTCGAGCGGCACACATCCTGGACGCCCGGCTTGACGCAGACTTCTCCCAAGGTCTGAAGTGGATACGGATGTCTCCTTGGTTGAGGCTACTTTTGTTTTGTGGTTTTTGAAGCGAAACCACGAGAACAAAACACAACTTTGTTCTTTTTGGCTGGGGGGATATGGGGTACTCGAAGAATCTTGAAGATTTCGGTGCTTGTCCTTGCGCTTGCGAAGGGTGGGTGAGTCTCCCGAGGTTTGTGCAAGTCATGCGCCAGCGATGGCATTGCCTGTGCTTCGGAGCTGGTACCGCTGTCAGGCATTGAGGACCTGCCAGGCCTGGCAAGCTGACCGACGGACTGAGACAATTTGTTGACCCCGGATGAATAAACCTCTCGGGTGGGGGGGGGGATCTCCAATCCATGTCCCCTACTGTGGATCGTTTTTTTTCTTCTTCTTTTTCTGGAAATACATGGCAATGCCATGGCTGACCTGGTTGTTTCACAATCTACCAGGGCCATTTGTTTTCAAGCAACAAGGACACCCTACTCTGTATGGTCGCGAAGTCCATTTCGCACCACTTTGAAACCAGTTGGTACTTGCAGGGAAATCGTCGTCCTTCCAGGGTTTCTCGGGTGGTGCAGGATCTTGTCCATCCACTGCATTATTAGGGAGGTGATCCCGCCAGTGATGAACTCCCACTAATTGAAAGGGGACACTCCCCCCATTAATCAACTAGGAGTTTCACCATCCGGGGCTCCCGTTACCATCCATGTTTTCCAGAGAGCCCGGCTGGCAACGCAGTGGCAACGCAACTTCGCAAACCGGCAGCAGAGCAGAAGTGAAAGGTTCTGTGGAAATTCCATATCTGGATTGCCGGTGTTTTTGTGGAGCCCGTTGCGCAGATGGCTTCTCTGCACGCTCTTCAGCACGTTTGGCAGTGGCCTTGGCCCTGCAGTCTCTGAGTGGCAGCCAGGTGGTAAGGCCAGCGCCTTGTCTCACCGGCTATTGATAGAGGCTCAGGCTCGGGATCAAGGGGGTACCCTTTTTGGGGTGGTGTTTGAAAGGAAACCAAAAAACAGCCACACTTACCATTTTTTTGGGGGAGGGAGGGGCATGTTAAGACACACCCATTTTTGACCCCTTGTCCCGCAACTTTAGCTTAAAGGAACCCAGCCACTATAGCGTGACAACGTTCATGCATGGGTTACAGATCCGTGCAACCGTTTGACAGGCCAACCCTTTCTTCACATGTTCATGTGAAGAATTCCTGTTTGAAACAACCTCCTTTGGTTTCCAGGGAAACCAGGGGTGCGTTTGATCAGGTGAGCCGTCATTGGTTTGGATTGGCGGTTTGGGGATTCCCCCTGTTTCTGGAGGAAACGTGGAAAACCAGGTGCCCCTGTTTCTTGTAGACGTGGGAAACCACCCCGTAACCTCCAAACCGGGCTCCAAACCACCAAGAGCGACTTCCATTTGCTAAAGGATATGTTAGATTTTCCATTGTCGGTTTGTACAGGGGACTATGTTTTCTCATTTTTCCAGGGGGCGAGGAAGCAAATGTGGTTCAGGAAGCGATCGAGAAAAATGGATCCCAGGACCTGATCGAACGGCTGCGCCTGGCTGCCGCGGACCTTCGCCACCGCTCCCTCGACCTTTGGCCCTTCGAGGGCCCTGCGGCGCTGTCGCCCCCCTCTGCGCGCGCGAGGATCGCCCAGAGCGCGCCGGCAGTGCCGGTGCTGGTGGTGAATTTGGACCGGAGCCCACACAGGCGTGGCCGTTCTTCGTGTTTTTTTTTCGGCCAGTTTGAGCTCCTTTGCACGAAAACCTTCCTACCGGGTACCGGGATGGAGTTCTGAAACGAATATGTGCTTTATTTTCCCTGCTGGTTTTAAAGGGACTGGACACATCTTCTCCTTCTTTCCAGGGGGGCGAAGAAGCAAATGGAAGGCTGTGAAACACCCAGCGCCTCGCTCGCGTGTCGCTCCGCTTGGCTCAGGTTGCAGGACATGCGGCGGGAGGTGCAGCGCTGCGGTCTGCGCGCCCGGCGCTGCGCCGCCACGGACGGGCGGCACCGGGTGGTGCGGCGGTCCCGTTGCGCGGAGTACACCAGCGACCTGCCGAGCTTCAGCCTGCGCTGGGACGAGGTGGGACCTAACCCCGAGTTTTGAGTGCCTGGTGCCCTTAAACGGTTCAAACATGGCGTTCATTGGTGGAAGCAAGGGGAGAGGCCATTTCCCAAGGGACCCAAACTAAGTGTCCACTTGGAGCTAAGAGTCGGATCGAGTCGGCCTGAAGCACCAGGCGCGGCCGGCACTGGGTTTGGCGCTGACTGCCTCAGAGCAGCGGCACTTCGTGGGTTATGTGGGCAGCTGGCTGTCGCACATGCGGGCAGTACGTCAGGGCATCGAGGAAGGCGCTCCCTTCGTAGTGGTGCTGGAGGATGACCAGGTGGGGCCGTGAAAGGTGGTTTGTGCATGTGTGTGTTTGCAGCTTGGTTTGAACGGAATCATGCGAAACCAAAAAGGAAAAGACAACGATTTGTTTGGAGGGGGCCCTATGTTGACACATACCCAAGTGGTTGCATTGTCAGGGCTTCTCCAAAATCACGTTTGTGATCCGCCGCCGTTTGGACACGAATGTTGAGGACGCTACTTGAATGGACCCCCGTGCAAAAACAGGGGACCTTCCCTCTTGGAAAAGAGGCTAAGCGCGACAAATCCGAGCTGGCATACTTAAAGTCTAATTTGCAGCCTGGAACCCTAAAAACCAATACCCTAAATGAAGGAGATTGCTGCCGCGTCCATCCGTCCATCACATGGGGGAGGGGTAGGGGAAAACCGCATCTCGGGGAAAATTCCCAGCGTCAATTTGCTTAAGAATCTGTGTTATGTTCGCTGGTCGATCTTGGGAATCGATTTCACTAGACATATTTTCGTTCCTTTTCTTTCATTTTTCCCAGGGGTCAGGAAATGGAAGCGCCATGAAGCGCCCAGGTCTTGAGCCCCGACTTCAACGCGGTGCTGGATGACATCATCTCCTGTGCTGGGGACCTGCTGGATGTGGTGGTGCTCGGTCCCTTGGACTGGCGACTCCGGAGCCTGCAGTACGCGCAGCCCAGGAAGGCACAGCCTCGGCCTTTTCTTCTTTGCGGGGGGGGGGGGACAGACTCCATGGCCTGGAGATGTGTGTGTGTGTGTTGCTCTTTGTTTCTTTGCTTCTTTGTCTTTGGGGGGGGGGGCGGGTATAGATGTGTGCCGTTTCTGATCTTTGCTTCTTGCCAAGTAGCTGGAAGCTATGGGGTCTCTTCCCAGACAAGCTCCGGAGTGTGGAGCTTCGGGCGAAAGTTGCGGGCTCTTAGGGGTTCCAGGCTGTTGAGGATACCACCCGGTGCTTTTTTGTTTGTTTTCTTGGAGGGGCGGTGGCTAAGTAGCCCCTTGAGTTGCTCCTCGCGGAGGTCATGCAGCTGCGTCAGCCGTGCGTAGCCGGAGCTTCCACAGAGGAGGAGTACATGGCAAAGGTCTACGGGTACAAACCTGGCTCGCAGCCGGAGGCAGGAATGGAAAAAGCAAACAACTGTTTCTTCGGAAAACACCCTCCCGAAAATCTTCCAGTCTGACTGATTGTGGACTTCCGAACTTTTCTCTGGATGCCTTCGCCAAGAAGAAGGTCTTTCAAAACCCCTGTGAGCTTCCAGGAGGGATGGTAATCGACTAACATCACGGTTCCAACTCACGCGCATCCGGGATGTTCGAGCCTTTAGGCGAACCCAAGCTTTGGCACAGGTTTGTCTTAGAATAGTGGTTCGGAGCCCCAGCAAAAGGTGGTTTCTGTTTGTTTCCCCCCATCCACCCCCAAAAAAACAACTCAAAGACAGGACCTTTTGGGTGCGTTATTTTAGGAATCTGACCCCCAAAGTAGGTTTCGGTTTTCCCTTCAGTTTCCCTTGGAGACAAGAAACAAGGGGTACCAAAAAAACATCATCAAAAAAAAAGGAAAACAAAAAACGTGACACCCTTTTAGCTCTCCTTCAAAACACTCACCCAACCACGTGCAGGGCACCTACTTCTTGTACTCCATCGGGTCTAGAGCTATGGCCGGGGAGGACGTGCTCTCCACTGGGTGCTGCGGGGTCTGGGGCTACCTGGTGAGCCGAAGGGGGTGTCAGAAAATGGAGGCGGAGCGTTTTATCGAGGTACCTGGTGGTTTGGTTTCTGCTGGGGTTCCCTCGTGTCCCTTTTGAACCCCCCAGAAGTCGCAGAAGTGGAGATCTGGGAGTTGAACCCCTTCTTGTTTTCGCCAGTTCAAACTCCGGCGTCCCCCGTTTCCCTTGTGTAGAACCCCCACAAGTGGAACGATCGGTTCAATGCAACACATCAGTAGATTGATCGAATTTGATTTGGGGAAATCCAGTGTCCCCTCAAACCAGCAATTGGGAAGCTGAGTGTTTTCGGTGTTTGGGCGTTGATTTGGCTAGTTTCGGTTGGGATCGCAAATGAGGGCAACCGGTTGAGGTTTCGATGCAGCCATGGTTTCGCCAAAGCCTTTGGGTGTTCAACCGCTTTCCCTTCCCTAGACCTGGAAGGGTTCTACCCAGCTTTGCGCCGAGGGCACAGGAGGAGTTGCATCCCAAGGATTCGCGATACGCTTGACATTGCTGTTTGTGCATCATTCTGACTTTGCGAAGCTGAGAAACCTTGCAGGCGTCCATGAAGTTCATGTGGGAGTCTTTTGATGACGTGCTCCAAGCGGAGATGCAGGGGGACAATCGCTTCACGCGTATGGTGGGAAAGCATCGGCTTTGGGCCGTGTGGCCGCCGTTGGTGACTTCTGATGGCAAGTGGCCCTCACAGAACTCGGGAGAGGACCTGTCCTTGCGCCAGTTGGCAGCGCATACGCGGTCCCGCGGTCCTATTTGGTAGGAAATCGATGGCGTGTCCTGCCCAGTTAACCTTCATCTACCTGGTTTCATCACCTAGGGAAATCCGAATTGATGTTCAACCAAAAGCACACCTACGGCTGCTTAAAGGCAACGGCTGGCTTTTGGTTCGTTGCAGATTCCAACGTCGTTTTTCCCCGCGGTGCAGGACCTGGACTTTGGCAGGCAGTGTGTTCCCGTCAGTCCTCATGCTGGCTTTCGAGATCACACGCTGCAGACAGAGGCGTGGCCAAGGAATCAAGGTGACAGAGAATGAGTCGGAATGCTTGTCCGGCAAATTGGCGACTGCACCAGACAGCTGCACATGGATGTTCCCGTAAAATGTCTTCAAATGCGGAGGTGTCGGTGACGAAAGTGGCAGGTTTCCGGTCGCTTGCCTTTAACCCTAGGGTTCAACCGTTCAAAGTCAATCAACAGAACGCTTGACCCAATTTTGATGATGAAACTCCTTAGGTACAGAATTGTGGTTCTATGTATTTCCCCCATTTCTTATGGTGGCTTGCACCCCAGGGAGTTGAAGATTGCAAAAAAGAACAAAACGGTGCCAACCGATGCGCCTGCGGCTTTCGCTGGCTCAGTGGCTCAGGTGGCGCACCTGGTTCTCGGCCCCGCTTTTGGAAGCCGAAGGCCGGGTCGACGCGCTCGTCTTTGCTCCCTGTTACAGGATCCCGTTCTGGTAAGCCTTGGTTGGGAATCAGTTCAAGGGAGGGACACCCAGAAAAAGGCTAAAGTGTATCCCAGGTAACTCGATCAGTCGCCTGCTTGTAAACCTGTAATCAGCTTCCCCCAAATTGGTTTGGATTGGTGGCTTGGGGATCTGAACCCCTGGATCTTGTGGTGGGATGGGAAACCCCTCTTCAGCACCCTGGAAGGAAGCTGAGTTTCCCATCCAAGAGGCGGTTCAACCCTAAGTTAATTCAAAACTTGGTCTCTATCTCTGTGGGTGAGAAAATTGCCAGCTGAATGGTGCCTGGACTATGCAACTACTCATGTCTGAGTTCATGTTGGAAAACCTGCTTGACTTCATGCCAAGACCCTTCAAAGGGAAACACAGTCTAAGTCACAAATATGCGCCCAGCGCAGCCCAGACACGGAATTCATCATCATGTCAGCATACATCAAACATTGGTCCCGCGAGTTGCAGCAAACCCACGCTTAGGTCGAGCCACGCAGGAAGTAAGTTGGAAAACAATACAGTGCCGTGCAAATAGTTGGCTGACAGTCGGCTCATGCCTGCCCCAAAATGCAAGCAGAGGTTCAACAGCTTGGGGGTCCACAAGCATCGCAAACAAATCTAGAGCCAAAGGCGAGAATCTTCTGCGTTCCCTTTTTTTCTCGCAAGAGTTTAAGCCATGCGAAATCGATGCAGCGACGGTTCATGTGATAGTCGCAATTCTGCAACCTACCTGGCACATGTAAGCAACATGTTGCTGTTGTTCGCAAACTGAAGCATTGTCGTTTTTTGAGACCAGACATTAGCTGTAACCAGACCAAACTGAAGCATTATCAGACATTAGCTGTAAGTATCGCGATGCATCACAAAGACATACACATTTCCGAGAGTGTGACTAGCAACATGCTGATGAAATCATAAATGTGCTCCACATGTTGGCTGCTCATAGGCCAAACCACTTGCTTATGCCGACTTGTCCAAGGTGATTCGTAAGAATGGTAGCTTATGAATCGCAGAGTCGTTCGGAATAGCTTCTATTCTTCGCGGAACACACTTGGAGCGGTTCAGAGCGGTTCCACAAGGCGATATTGAACACGCTCGCCGAACGGTTCAGAACGGCTCAGCCAATTCAATTTTGCAAGCCTGCTGAACGGTTCAGAACCGTTCAGCAAAGCTTGCTGAACGGTTCAGAACGTTTCAGCAAAGTAAGTTTGCAAACCTGCTGAACGGTTCAGAACGGTTCAGGGCTTGCTCAAGCCACAGCAAAACACCTGAACGGTTCAGAAAAGCACATTCGAACACTGCCTGAACGGTTCAGAACGGTTCAGGAAATCCATTTCGTAGACTGCCTGAACGGTTCAGAACGGTTCAGGGAATCTATTTCGTACAATGCCCGAACAGTTCGGAACGGTTCAGGGGATCAATGGTTCTCGGAACTAACCTGGAGGACCCTTTGATACACAAAAAAGTGCTCCAAACAGCTTTTGGCATTCGAGCGTTTTTTTCTGCTCAAATCCAATTCGAGCACTTTTTGAGGTTGCCTAGATGCTTGGTGAAGTGCTCGAGAAAACGAACCCACAACTCGAGCGCAATTTCCCGCTACTCGGGCGCAAATTTCCGCAACTCGGGCGCAATTCCAAAAAGTGTGCACAGCCAAAGCTCCGCCCCGCAATCTGTGCGTTTGCATGTGTTTGCATTTCCCGTTACTCGCGCACTTATTTGCTACGAGAGCTCGAGCAAACATTTGTGTATCAATGGGTCCTGCAGGAGCCAAGTACCGAATGACTTTGTGCCTGGGATACTGGACTCGCGCGCTAGGTTGCGTTGAAAACTCATTGAAGCGCGTAATCCATAGCAGCAAAGCCTCTGAACTGTTCAGAACCGTTCAGAACCGTTCAGGGGCATCAAATTAAAGAGAAAACCTCTGCGCGGAAACACGAACAGCCATTGCCGACTCTGGCGCCAACATAAAAAAGAGTCCTCTTCCAGCTGCGTGCGCTCGAGGTAGCTCAGAGGAGAGTTACGGAACGAGTCCACTGCCAATGATTTGTTGAACTAATTCCTGACGATTGTTGCTTGCAGGCGGCATGGTTGAACTGGGCAGGATAATGCAGGCAGGTGTGCGCGCGCATCCTACCGAAACAAGTTCAAGCGCTTGACCGGCACTGTACATGTTCTGGAACAGCTCAGTTGCGCGTAGTTTAAGTATTGAGCCGTGATGTTGTCAAATAAACGGTGCAAGAACGCAGGTTGTAAGTAACGCTAACTAGAGCCGGCTCAGACATTTGTGCGCATCTTATGGCCGAGTGATTTTCTCTGTTCTCGTGTTTCCGTATCAGGGACTGTTCCATCAGTATCATAAAGTAGCATGGAAACCAAATCACACATGCTTCTATGGACTGGACATTGATCACGCTGAATCCAGAGAACGCACATAAGCATGTCCAGAGTGAACTGGGTGTTTTCCATTTCATACCTGGGTGTTTTGTTAGCTGGTGCTTTTATGCTGGTGCTGTGCCTTGCCGCTGTGCAGCTTTTGTTGACACAACCATACACCGCATCACCCTCTTCCTGGCAACACGGTATCCAATATCGTCAGCTACTTGACAGGCCTGAACTGCAAGCTGAAATTGTCCCTTCTGCAGCTTGGGGCCTTGCAATTTAGCTTTCTTCCGGGCATTGCTGCAGTCTTGCACAAGTAGTCAGTTTCAGGAATTGTTTTTGGCGCCGTGCGACTGACAACAGGAAGGACGCCTTGAAGTACACCCCCCCTGCCAGCGTTGAACAAGCTCGCGCAAGGCCACACATGCTAGCATTACAGAAGGGCCTTTCCTTTGCTGCAACAACATTTGCATTCTATGGCTGCTTAAATTGCGGTCCCTCTTCCTTTTCTACAGTTCCTTTGGAGCAGGAAGTGCCGCTTGCGGCCTTCGCAAAGGGCCCACCAGCAAGCTTGCAGGACCTCCTCTTAGTGACAAAAAATGTCTCCCAAGAAAACAAACAGGTTCGCCAAGCACCCCAACATCTACCAACCAGCCCCCTGAGCCCTCCCAACTATGACTGAAGTAGAAACCCACCTTACATTCCCTGGAAAGAGTGTTCCAAGTTAGTAACTTTGAAAGTGGATTCAGCCTGAAGCTAACTATGATTTATATGTGAATGGAAGTTGCAGCCTTGCATACTCTCAAGGCCTTGGAAGGTGGGAGACCTTCCGTAAGATTGTAAGAACATGTGTGCGACCAAAACCCTTAAACATAGGGGTCCTCTAATAGTAGAGCCATTCATGTCCCTTACATCTTGTTTTCATGCGTGCTGTCGTTTATCACTTGTGGGGCATGGTTTCGGGTCGCACTCGGGTCAACATTCATGTTTTTTAAAATGCCAGCGCGACCGAGGCCCCAGAACAGTGCCGGCTCAATCATAAATGGCCCAACGCGGTGTCCCAAGCCAATCAGGCTAAGCTTTCAACCTTGTGTTGTTTGTTGCGCAGGCGCACGTGTGCAAGAGCCCGCATAAGTCATGCCAGGCTCCAAATGAAAAGCCCTCGCGCAAGCCGTGCTGTAGCCTGTAGCAACATTATCACTTAATCAAGGCGAGGCTTCTTGAGGGTACCTGTTCCATACTCTCGCACTGATCACCACCGTGCAGCCAGCTAATGTGGGTGTTGCAGCACAGCAAGTCCAAGTAAAGAACAGTCAAGCAGTCATTGCTTCATCAGGTGCGGGCAACAGGCTGCTAGCCAAGGGCCTGCTTGGGCAGCTGCTGGCAGGCTGAAAGTTAATTCTGGGAGTTTGAGGGTTGACAAAACCGTACGCTGCGATATGCTACGTTGCGTGCTTGAGGGCAACTATTTGTGCTGGTTCCCATTTGATGTGCGAGTTCTCGCTGGGTGTCTCTGTCCATTCGCCTCATTCATTTCATGAAAACAGACGCCCTTTTCTGCGTAGTGTTGCATTGATGAACGGGGCTACCACAATTTGGCTCATATTTTCCTGGCCAACTTGGCTCAACCAGCCAACTCGGACCTGACAAAGTGACGGATTTTCCTGGCCAGGCTCAATCAGCCAACTCGGATCTGTCAGTGTGACGGGCTTTCCTACTTGGTTCAACAAGCCAACTCGGATCTGGCAAAGTGACGGGGTTTCCAGAAACCCAGTCACAAAACCCCAGCCAAATGCGTTCAACCAGCCAACTTGCGTGCCTCAGAACAGATCACAACTCTGACCCCTCAGTCCAAGTGAAATCGTGACTGGGTTTCCAGAAACCCAGTCACAATTGTGGCCTTTGTGGCGAACCAGTCGCACCTGCTGCACTCTGTCCACCATCAGATGTGTGATGGGTGTTTCAAGTTCAAGGCTAAATTGTGACTGGGTTTCTGGAAACCCAGTCACGATTTCACTTGGACTGAGGGGTCAGGAGTTGTGATCTGTTCTGAGGCACGCAAGTTGGCTGGTTGAACCCATTTGGCTGGGGTTTTGTGACTGGGTTTCTGGAAACCCCGCCACTCTGCCAGATCCGAGTTGGCTTGTTGAACCAAGTTGGCCAGGAAAATCCGTCACTTTGTCAGGTCCGAGTTGGCTGGTTGAGCCAAGTTGGCCAGGCAACCGTCACTCTGCCAGATACCCCCCATCATTGATGTAACACTACGCAGGAACGGTGCTGGTTCATGAAATGAGTGAGGTGAATGGACAGAGACACCCAGCGCAAACTCGCACATCAAATGGGCACCAGCACAAATAGTTGCCCTCAAGCACGCAAGGTAGCATATCGTAGCGTACGGTTTTGTCAAGCCTCAAACTCCCAGAATTAACTTTCAGCCTGCCAGCAGCTGCCCAAGCAGGCCCTTGGCTAGCAGCCTGTCGCCCGCACCTGATGAAGCAATGACTGCTTGACTGTTCTTTACTTGGACTTGCTGTGCTGCAACACCCACATTAGCTGGCTGCACGGTGGTGATCAGTGCGAGAGTATGGAACAGGTACCCTCAAGAAGCCTCGCCTTGATTAAGTGAGAATGCTGCTACAGGCTACAGTACGGCTTGCGCGAGGGCTTTTCATTTGGAGCCCGGGCATGGCTTTTGCGGGCTCTTGCACACGTGCGCATGCGCAACAAACAGCACAAGGTTGAAAGCTTAGCCTGATTGGCTTGGGACACCGCGCTGAGCCATTTATGATTGAGCCGGCACTGTTCTGGGGCCTCGGTCGCGCTGGCATTTTCAAAAAACATGAATGTTGACCCGAGTGCGACCCCGAAACCATGCCCCACAAGTGATAAACGACAGCACGCATGAAAACAAGATGTAAGGGACAGGAATGGCTCTACTATTAGAGGACCCCTATGTTTAAGGGTTTTGGTCGCACACATGTTCTTACAATCTTACGGAAGGTCTCCCACCTTCCAAGGCTTTGAGAGTATGCAAGGCTGCAACTTTCAGTCACACAAAAATAATAGTTAGCTTCAGGCTGAATCTGCTTTCAAAATTATTGACTTGGAACACTCTTTCCAGGGAATGTAAGGTGGGTTTCTACTTCAGTCATAGTTGGGAGGGCTCAGGGGGCTGGTTGGCAGATGTCGGGGGCTTGAGGCAGCAAGCTGAATCAGAGCTACCCTTGTTCATCATTCATTAGGTGAGTAAACAAACAGTTCATGACATGCGTCTCTGCGGCCGGCGGCTGGAAGTGTCTTGGGCATTAGCGGGATGTTGCTGGCTCTCTGGCGCAAGCAGCCATAGAAAGCAAACGTCCGTGCAGCAAAGAAAACCCTACCGTAATGCTTGCATGTGTGGCTTCGCTGGCATCGACGGGGATACTTCAAGGCATCCTTTCTGTTGTCAGTCGCATGGCTCCAAACACAATTTCTGAAAGTTATGACTCGCGCAAGACTGCAGCAATGTCCGGATCAAAACTAAATTGCAAGGCCCCAAGGCTGCCGAAGGGGCGACTTAAGCTTGCAGGGGCAGCAAATCGAAGCCGGTCAAGTAGCTGACCATCAGGGATGCTGCGTTGCCAGGAAGAGGGTGATGCAGAGTAAAAAGCAGGATGCCGCAAACAAATGCATGGTTTCGCATTTGGATTGACCAAGAGTCAACAATGGGAACGCACATCTTTGCTCAAAAACAGGTGCACAGCAGCAAGGCATAAAACCAACACACAAGCGCCAGCCAGCAAAACATCCAGTTACAAAATGGAAAACACCCACTTCACTCTGGACGTGCTTACATATACACGTATTAATTATTATGTGTCTGTATCTATGTATATATGTAATCGGGTTACTGTGTGGACCTGCGTTGGGACATACGCTGACTTGTCAGAGGCGGTGTGGTCAGTGAGCAAAAAAATGGAAGCTGCGCAGACCTCTTGCCACTGACATGAATGCCTGATTTGCGCGCGGCCGCTGCAATGAGTTGTGCGCTAGGTCAACTAATTTGCTTCAGCCTAGAAGTTATCAAACCAAAGATCTACTGACTAGACGCTGCCCTGTTTGTATGGCGCTGACTTTCTGAGCGAGCGTTCAGCCGCAACGTGTTGCGAGCCAAGACGCGTGCAAGCACTGCGGCGTAGAACCCCTTGTTGCTGAAGTAGCTGACGTGAAAAGCACAACGGCAACAAGGGAAATCTTGCTGAGGACTGAAGATGACACACACACACACAAGCACTTGCCCGTTTACACTTTGCGCTGCTGGCGAGCACGGAAAATATGTGTGCGTGTGTGCACAGGTTTGCGGAGGAGCCTTGAGGTTGGCTTCAGGGTCAAGGCATGGATGATCGTTCAGGTCGGAAACAAACTCACACATGTTGGGTAGTGTACATGTTTCTATATATATATAAAGAGAAATGCACAAAAATATATACACACACACATGCCCAGCCAAGCATGTGTGTCTACCTATTTTACGCCCAAATCACTCAGACGCATGTCTTAAAAACTATCTGAGACGTATCACGGATAAGAACGGCAGGGCCAGTTGAGTAGCTGTAAGTTGCCCAGCGGCCTCGACAGCTATTTATTTACGCGCCGTTCAACGTTGGTCACACCATAACTAGTTTCGCCATCTTTGCGACGTCCGTTAGATTTGACAGAAACACCCCAATAAAGAGGCCAAGTTTTGAAATAAACCCTAAGCTTTTGGTGAATGGCCCTGACTGCGAAAATCTCAAGTCCGAGCCCCAAATTTTTCCCAACATCCCGAAGTGCGGGAAAGTCCAGCAGTGGATTTTTCCCTACATGGCCCTTACATGGCTGTGTTCCTTTTGGTTTTCCTCCAAAACCACAAGCCAAAAAAAAAGAAAGAAAAAAAAACGGGCGCCGCGCCTCGAAAAGCCAGCAGAGCCACCCAAGAATTTGAGCCCTGACATGCGCTCACTGGAGGCTGCGGGTAGCTGCGGCCAGCGCCTTGCTGTGGCCCAAGGTGGAGCCCGTCTGGGCCTACGTGGTCTGCAGCTGGCGCCGCCTCTTCCACCACCGCGCCGGCACAGGCGGCGGCTTCGAGCTGCGCACGGAGCGGTTGAGCTGTTGAGCGGTTTGCCTCGCGTGGAACCAGAAAATTAGGTTCCTGTGTCTCCACTCCCTAAGTTCCGGGTTTTGGACTTTCGCTTTCGTCAATTCTTGGGTTTGGACCAAAATGGTAAACAAAACAGTGGTTGCATTTTTTGGCCAATCCACTCAGGAAGTGCGACGTTGAAGTAGAACCCTGGGGCGGGGAAGACGCGGGGCCTCCAAAAGTGGTGCACCTCCCATTTTAAGTGAGGACCTCCCCCGGATCAAAATCAACTGGGGGTTCGACATTGACTCGGGGAGTCTCAAGAGGATGCCCGAAGGACTTAACTTTCCATGCCTTCCCTTTTGGGCGTCCGTGATTGCTGGCAATAGACACTAGGCTCTAGTCAGTTTGGAGCAGATGAGAACAAATGGAGATGCGTCATTTGTTTGAAATGCGGTTGGCGAAACCTTTGTCTCCCAAGGAGATACAGCACAAACTCTACAAGGAGAGACGGTTTTTCGACATCACGACCGAAGGCGTGGACGTTTCGGGCGACCTGTTTTTGTTCAATAAAAATTAGGGGACCTTCCACTTGCACGAGGATGTGCATCCACCAACCTTTTTTGAGGCTGGTCCCTAATATTACAGATTATCATAAGCTCACTTCCTGGGTTCATGGAATTTCTACTTTTTGGATTTGGACAAAATATCAGTGGCCCACAAAAAGCTTGCACTTCTTTGGCCCGTCCACTCAGCAATCAATTTTCCCAAAGTGGGCTGAAACAGGAGCCGTGCGCCCGAACCAAAAAGGGAAACGCGAGGCCTCACCTGGAGTTGGACGGTTCTGCGTGCGGCCTTCCTCTTGGGGCTGGCCGAGCCGGTGCCGTGCTTTCTGCCCAGCTTGCCGCCGGAAGGTGGGGCGCCTTAGGTCGGGAAGTTTCCCACGAGTGGCGGGTCTTTTGGAGGAATCAGGCGACCCCAAAGCGGTGGCGGTCTCATGAGGTCTCCGTGAAAAGCAAGAAGGGAACTCTCAAAACAGGCACCCAAATGGTTGGTGGATTTCAATCCCCCGGAATGATGCCCAACGGGTTCCCAAAGTTCACACCCAAGCAGCTTCGGCAACGAGCCTCTATGATTCTTTTTTCTGGCTTGGTCGACCGCTTTTGCCGGAGTTTGACAGGCCCATTGCTGCAAGTACCATGTGAGGACCGCCCATACAGCTGCCTCCCTTGACCCTGCGGATTTTGCATGGTCCGCTCGAACTGCTGGCCTGGTGTCCAGAGGCCTGGTTCAGAGACCTGCTTCTCGGCGGCTTCGTGCGGGACTGGGAGCCGACTGAGTTTTTGTTTTTCTACACCAGGGCTCTGGGTTTGACAAGGTGGTTTCACCCTGTGCCATCATTTTGGGACCATGGCTGGGTGGCTCGCCTTGGTTTACGTCGAACCTCCAGACATGGTGGGTGTTTTTTGGGTTTCCCTTAAGAACCCACCAAACAAAAAGGCCCCGGTCCTCAAATAACAAACAGCCCGGAAGTTTTTCTTCGACCAGAACTGACCACCTTCATGGCCTGTGGCCTGATCCGCTGAGGCTGGATGCTGCGCCGGGCACGCGCATCGAGCTTGGCACGGTGCCGGTGACTCCCTGGCGTGCTGCAGATGAGCTGAGGCCATCAGAATGCTCATGGGGAACTTTAGTGGTGGAACAGTCCCGTAGGTATGTCAATGCACATCCAAATCTATGAAAGTCTGGGCTTGGCCCTGGTCTTGGGCCTTTGGACAAGTGCAATTGGCTCGTGAGGCGCCAGCTGCCTGGACTCCACCTGCAGGATCTTTCTCTGGATCGTCAGTCCAATCCTGGAGGCCGTGACCCGTGCCGATGGGATCCATTTCTTCCCCATTCCGTCCCAAAAGCGCTCGAAATGGCCCGCCAACACCCGGCGTTTCTTTTCTTGGCTTCCTTCCTGCATCAATTATGTTGACAAAGTCAGAAACTGAACACTGCTATGTGTTTTTCTTTGAGCAACCCCTCTTGAAAAATGGCCCTGGGTCCCCACCCGTCCGAGGCGCGGCCCTGGCCTTCGCCGCTTTCGCCGACGGCGAGGCAAGCGACGCCGCGGCCGCGGAGGCGCTGAAGGCGCAGCTGGCGCTGGAGGTCCCGGCGCTGGTCACCGGCGCGCTGAGGACGCTGCTGGAGCTGTGGAGGGAGCCCCCTGTGGCGAGAAAGTAGGGGGGGGAACCACGGGTGGGTTGGGGTGGGTGGGGTGGGTGGGGTGGGTGACACGGTGGGTGGGGGAGGACCCTGCCAGCCCTTTTGTTGTCTTACATCTTGGCTCAGGCCCCAAAGGTTTTATGTGGAGAAGGTGTGGGAATGGGTGGGTGGGTGAGCTGGGGTGGGGAGCGAAAGGAATCTCCCAGCAAAGATGGATCCTGGGAAAGTCCTGGGAGGATTTCTCGTTTCCTGTAGGGACCGTTCCCTGCAAACAGGTTCTATGAATGTTTCCTGCGGGTGTCTCAGATTTTGGCGTTAGAAATGAGAGTACCAGGTTGGCAAAGCAGTGGACTCCACGCATTCAAGCTCCTCCCGGAGATCATACAAGCAATTGAAACGGAAAGTGAAGTTCTGAAACAATTGCGGAGACGGCCTTTTATTATCTTACATCTTGGTTCAGGCCCCATGTGTTTTGATTCTGACTCATGCCCTCGTGTTCAGATGGTGTAGCTTCTTCCTTGACGTCCATCACACCCACGTTGAAGGGTTAAGACGGCTGGAAGTTTGCCTTGACTTGATGGCTTGTGCTCAGGTTGTCCGCCTGGCGCGCTGGAGTCTTGGCAAGTAACTGTTTGACCTTTTGGCTTTGGTCTTGGGCAAGTCCGCTCCAGGACTCCAGGCTGTTGTTGTGGAGCTCCTTCTGCTCAGCTGCTGGGTCGCTGCCCCACGTTTCTTCTTCGATCCTCTGGTCCACTGGCACCCTCCGAATCCCTCTTTGCTTCCTAAAACCTGGTTGTGGCCAATTCTTGTTCTACCCCTTGCCAGCGAATCGGCCTGAATTTCCCTTCATGAATGCTCTCACTTCCTGAGCTCCTTTGACCACCTGAGCCACAATCAAAACCCGGGAAGATGAAGGTAAGGGACAATCCCAACCATACATAGTTGCGGATATCCGCCTGCGCATTTCCTTACATGGCTCTGGGTTAACCATTGTGATACCGGGTTTTGAGCAAGTGAGTCAAGCGTTGTTTGGGAAATGTTGACCCCATATCAATGAACCCACCAACAACACAACTAACAACAAAACCAACGACAACCAACCAACAGCCAACAACACAACCAACAACACAACCAACAACAACCAACAACACAACCAACAACACAACCAACAACACAACCAACAACAACCAACACAACCAACACAACCAACAACACAACCAACAACACAACCAACAACACAACCAACAACACAACCAACAACACAACCAACAACAACCAACAACACAACCAACAACAACCAACAACAACCAACAACAACCAACAACAACCAACAACCACCAACAACCACCAACAACCACCAACAACCACCAACAACACAACAAACAACTACCAACAACAACCAACAACACAACCAGCAGCTACCAACAGCAACCAACAACAACCGACAACAACCAACAACAACCAACAACAACCAACAACAACCAACAACAACCAACAACAACCAACAACAACCAACACCAACCAACAACAACCAACAACAACCAACAACAACAACCAACAACAACCAACAACACAACCAACAACAACCAACAACAACCAGCAACAACCAACCACAACCAGCAACACAACCAACAACGACCAACAACAACCTCAACACAACCAACAACAACCAATAACAACCAACAACAACCAATAACACAACCAACAACAACCAATAACACAACCAAGAACAACAATTAACACAACCAACAACAACCAACAACACAACCAACAACAACCAACAACACAACCAACAACAACCAACAACAGCCAACAACACAACCAACAACAACCAATAACACAACCAACAACAACCAACAACAACCACCAGCAACCAACAACAACCAACAACAACCAATAACAACCAACAACAACCAACAACCAACAACAACCAACAACAACCAATAACAACCAACAACAACCAACAACCAACAACAACCAACAACAACCAATAACAATCAGCAACACAACAAACAACAACCAACAACAGCCTTAACACAACCAACAACAACCAACAACAACCAACAACCAACAACAACCAATAACAACCAATAACAACCAACAACAACCAACAACCAACAACAACCAACAACAACCAATAACAACCAACAACAACAACCAATAACAATCATTAGCCGAACTGGGCCCCTACTGCTCAGCTGGTCGCTAGTCCAAAGCTGCCCCACGTTCCTTCTTCGAACCTCTTGTCCACTGGCACCCCCTCTTGCCTAGGAACTGGCTGTGGCCAATTCTTGTTCTACCCCTTGCCAGCGAATCACTTCCTGAGTTCTTGTATTCTACCCAATCTTGCCAGCGAATCTTCTACCCATTCCCTTCATGAATTCTCTCACTTCCTGAGTTCTTGTGATCACCTGGGTCTGAGCTGGGCTGATGGCGTCCGAGGGCTGCAACTCGCCTTCCTGGGCCGCAACCCCTTCGCCGCGGCGCCGAAGTCCGCGAGTTCCTCGCCGGCAACGGCAAAATCCGGGCGCTGGGCGCGGCTGCAGGGGCCGGGGTCCCCGGAGGAGACGGGTTGTTTGTTTGTTTGTTTGTTTGTTTGTCCGTTTGTTCGTTTTTTTGTTTCTTTTGGGGGGGGGGGGGTGTTCTCTACAGAACAAAGGTAGAAGGGTTGCCCTTTGGGTCCAATTCAACGGAAATTCCCAAAACAGGGCCGGCAATTATCCCAAGATGATATTTTGATGGCCATGTTAAACAGGGGGGGGGGTAGCTTTTGGGGAAGGCCCCTGTAGGAAGGTTTGGACAGCCCCATCCACTCAAGCAAGGCAAATTGGGGAGGAACTGGGGGGAGACGAGGGAGAGGGTGATGAGCTGCAGGCCGACAGTCAATGGATATTCCCATGTTTGGCAGAGTACTGCATGCACAGAGGCAGCTGTTTGCAGATGCAATTGCTGGATTGCTTTTTCTGGAAAAGTTGAAGAGCCCAGTATGCGCCAGCATTCGGTTTCTGGTGTTTGGCTCGCGCAAAGTTGGTGATGTTGTTTTGGCCCCACCACTAAGTCAGGTCGAAGCCATGTAATCAATATGTGTTTTGCTCGACGTCGCGTGAATTTTCAGATGTTCAATGAAGGCCCTCCAGGACACCCGGGGGCTAGTTTGAGGGACCACCCTTGGGCTATTTGTGTGGGCCATATGTCAGCCATTCACTGGTTCAGTTTGCTAGAACCACAAAATCATGGACTATCGGGGGGGGCTATGAGGGGGGGGGGGGCTACTTCCTGTATACATAAGGGTTGCAGCATAAGCCGAGGATAAGCCCAGAATAAGAGGACCAGCTCGGGACGCCCAGGGCAACCGCAGAAAAAAGCCCAACCGGCTTGGTCGTGGCACTAGTCCATATACGAACGCCGTGTTAGTGAAGACATGGCCATGAGCCAATAAGAATCATGTCCGGCTTGTCCTCGGCTTATCCTGGGCTTGCCCTGGGCTTATCCTCAGCTTATCCTCGGCTTATCCATAAGGGCTTAATAGACCCTTAATAAGGTCTTATTAAGGCCTTATTCGAGGGCGGTTAATCTCTCAATAAGAAACGTGGGGAACAAGGCGCTTCCAAAAGCGTAGGAGCACCCTCCTGAGAAGCGCCGAACGCACCAAGTGGAAAAGCAATCGCTTGTGACTTCTGATGGAAAGACTGTTGACTACCTGACACCTGTCAATGCGGGTCACCCCACTAAAACAAAACACGTAAGACCATTTGCAACCAGCTGAGGGCCTGAAGTGAAACCATGCTTTTGCAGCTCTCCACGGGATCTGCTGCTTGGGCTTGGATAGAGAAACTTTTTTATTATTGCCTTCTTCAAATTATTAGGGTCTTAATAAGGGCTTATCCATTTTTTGTGGATAAGTACTCATGAAATCACTATTAAAGCCTTGATAAGCCTATGATAAGACCTTTTTAAAGGTCTATTCAGAGAAAGCGCCACTACACCCTAATCCCGTGCTTGTGCATAATTGAAGTAGCCCCCCCATAGCCCCCCCGGCATTCCATGACAAAACGTGCCGATCGTTTCCATGGAAACCACCGGTCAGATATCAGATTTCGAACGGGAAAATCCAGCGACCCTGTTTGTAGGTGTGTCGTTTTTTGGGCACCGCCAAAAATGGCAGTGGTTGTCAAAACCAATTGGGATCCCATTTTGGGGCAGGTGAATTCACCACCCGTTTTAGAACCTATGTTAGTGCTTGGATTGGGATGTTCACTGGGGGTACGATTGTGTTGTTTTTGACCCATGGCCATTTGAGACGCAGCCTATTGGTCATGGTCCTGCCGGTCTCAAAACATCATTCCCACAGAAAAGCAAGCAAAGAGAAATGGCAAGCACCGAAAGCGGGGAAGCGAGGCAAACAGCAGCCAAATGGATCCTGGTTTTTCCGTCGGCTTCCTGTCATGCCAAATGGGCGGTCGAAGGTGCCATAGCCCAGGCTTGCTTCAAAGCCAGCGCTCAATGGCGCAGAGGCCGGATTTCGGGCGTGTTTAGTCGGGACACATCGACATTCGAATCATTTTGGGTGGTTCCCAGCCATCCGGTTGCTTAGGGTGTTACTTGTTTTAGTTGGTGAAAAGTTAATCTTTTAGCGCGGGGGGATATCTGAGCACGACTGATTCATGGAATGTTTTGGGCAACGCTCAATGTGTTTCCACATTTGCGCGACCAATCTACTATGGAAAGCCGCATCCAGATTGTGAGAACCAGTTGGGCGCGCAGGTGCTCATTGTGGAAGAAGTTTGTGAGAAGGCCCGGTGGCAGGTTCGTCTGGAGGATGCCAGCGAAATCCAGGTAAGGGCAGAGTGCCTGGCCTCTTAGCAGCAACCGAGCCTATGCTGCAGCGGTTTGTGGGGCGCCCTTGTTTCTCAGGACGTCTTCCCGGAGACACCTTGGCCCCCGGTTCCGGAACCAGGCGGGGAGATGGATTTCCTCTATTTGGCAGCGCCCAAATCAGCTGGTCGTTGGTCTCAGTTGTCCATCCAAAGCAAGCCTTTTGACCCTTTGTTGTTGTTTTTTTTCCTCATTTTTAGTGGTGGGAAGCCCCACAACAATTTGGAGCGCGTTTTTTCGAGGATGGTCTTTCACGGTGTGAGTCAGCAGATCTCGATCCTGAGTCGATGGCATGGCATCGATTTAGGCCTCACCTTGGAGGAGGCCGAGGCGGCGGAAACGTCGGAGGAGTTCGAGCCGGGATCTAACCAGCAGCTTGGCGAAGGAAATGGCACTCACCTTCCGAATGGGGAAACTCACTGGTCAACTTGTCCAAAAAGAATCAACCTGAAGTGACCTTTTGGTTTTCTTGTTTTGCTGCCCCATGTTAAGGTCCCAGGAGGTGAACCTTTTGTAAGTTCCAGATCCTTATGGGCAGCTGAGGAACGCATAGATAGGTGTCCTTCTGGGTTGTTGTAATAGTAGATGGTGATTCCTGGTAGGCCTGGCAACAATTCTTCTACCAGAATCCATCCATTTGCAACCCAAAGGACACGTGTTTTTGAAAGACCCCCCAAATTCGGGTTCCATGTTTACGAAAGGCAGCTATGAGTGGTGCCTATGCCTCAACTCGGTGCCCAAGGATCGGTTCATTGGCCACGGGTATTGATTCCGATTGTCATCCAAGTCAATGAGTTGTTGCAAAATCGAATTCAAGCAGATATCCAGCCCCTGGTAAGGATCATCATTCCTGTCAGTGGAAGCTGAGGTTCTGGATGGGCGTGAAGCCAGCCGACTAGGACCACGCAGACCTCGCGTCAGCCGGCGCCCACGACTCCCACGCGCCCCACGCGGCGTGCACGCCGCTCGCGGCGTGCTGCTTGCAAGTTGCCTTCAAGAACCAGACCTGGCCCTCGGCTGGCGACTTGGGAACAAGGACGCGGATTGAGTTGCGGAACCTCGGAGGGAGGCGTTCACCAGCCTGGCCATTGCCCAGGGCTTGAAAAAAGTTGCGCACGGGTGTCATTGAGCGGGAGCTGGGTGCGAGTCAATTCAAGGGTCACTTTGTGTGGGCACTGGGTGCCAAGTCTGAACAATTCTGGGGTTTCCGAAGTTGCTTTTTTGGGATGGTCTCCCTTCAAACGTCTCCCATTATATAGAGGATGTTAAGGTAATGGACCCTGAATGTTCCCTTTTCGCCAGGCTGCGCTGGGCCGAACCTTGCTGGAGGAGTTTCACGGTGATGGGAGCCCCTCAAAGCCGCTTGGCAAAGGTGTGTACGGTTGAAGCTGGATTGAGTATGAGGCCTTATCGCAGCTTCTTGCGGCTGAGGAACGGAGTCTCCTTTTCTTCTGCATCTATCGCCTACAATGGCAAGGACCTGCATGCGCTGTTGGAGAGCCTGGCCCACTGGCTCTCCTCAAGTTGTGACTCAGCCTTGATCCGCATGCCGTGAACTTAGGATCCCCGTTGCATGCATGTGTTTTGCTTGAAGCGATAGATCCCTAACTTGAAATTGCGGCACTGTGTTGCTGGCAAGCGCGGCCGGTGGTTCCAGGAGCCCAGCGAACATGCGCGGGCACCCAACCTGCGTCCGGGTGTGGGCATGCGACGTGTACAAGCTTGTTGCCGACGTATGCGGATTATGACATATACATGTTAACAAGTTATATATGTTTATAATACATATATGTGTCATATTATGTGTGTGTGCCTATTCATTTGTGCATGGCCACGCTCATGCTGTTTGGCAGCTGCATGTGTGCAGCTCGCGGCGCAGGCTGCGAACTCCTCGGGCTTCCTCACCACGAGATCTTTAGCCACCACCACGGCCGGTGGGCTCGGGCCTCAAAAAAGCGGCCGGCCGATCCGCAAGCGAAGCGGCCGCCTTTTTGACTTTGGAGCATCCGAAGTGGTGGTTGTCCTTTGGTTCTCCTTTTGAAGCAGCCACAAAATGAACACTCAAGAGTGGATGGCGCTTTGGTATGGGAGCTTTGGATCTTTAGGGACTTTTGGGTTGAAGCAGCTCGGATATTCCGTATTGGACCCAAAAAGGTATTCACTTTTTGCAGGGGCTCTTGCCAGCAATAGAGTTGAGCCGCGGCATCCGCCTTGGGCCGAGGTGCAACCCGGAGTTCCAAGTGATCGTCGAGAGGGCTCGGGCCTGAGGTGTTCAGTCTGGCAATGAGAGTAGGTTCAAAGTGGGTCAGTCTTTTTTGAGAAAGCCTGCTTTCTGGTTGGCTACCAAAGAGAAAACCACATTTTTCTTGGGGGGGCAACTTGAAAAAACAACATACAATTCCACAGTTGCCAACACGCAGCTGAGACAACCTTCGTTGCCCGCTGCTTGCCTTGTCAGATTTTTCACTCGGCCCGCGTTTTCGCAAGGCGCCGGGGTCATCATTGGGGCTCAATCTCGACGCTCTCGATGGGCAGTCGCTGATCATTAGTGCTGTCAAGGCTCGCACCCACTTGCAATCCCAATACGGGTGGAGCTGACAACTGGGAGCAAATTCTGTTTGGTTGTGACGCGAGCTCTCAGGGCTTCATCTGAGGTTCTCGCAAGTCTCGGGGATCGGCGGGAAGACATGAAACTTGCTACTTGGAGGGAACCCCCCGCTCCTTTGATATTTTGGCGAACGTTTCTATGGCAAACTGTGCCTTTGGTATCGGTTTGCCCGTGCCAGGCAGGCCCTGTCCGCGAGGGGCCTAGCTCAAGACCTTGCAGCAGCACCCTTTTCCTGATTTTCTGTCTCAAGCACCAAAAACAGCCACCAAGGGCTACTGGGGGGTTCAGTTGTTTTTGGTCGAAGCTGGCCACGGGTCCTAGCTTTTTCGACTGCCAAAAAGTGGCAGTTTCGAAGGGGCTGGATATAACGTTTCTCTTTTGTAGCCCATGACGCAAGCGCAAGGCCCGGCGATTGCATGTGAGGTGCTTTTAATGAGAAGCAGGATGACGAGGACAACATGTTGCAGCCAGGGCCTTGGGAGCAACCAAACTAGCATAGGCGTTCTTTTGATTAGTTAGTTTGATTTGGGTTCCACTGGTTTGGATGGGTTTTATAAACCATTTACCAGGGAAATCTATCATTTTTTTCCATAAGGTCACCTATGCCGGTTACTGTCCTCTCGACATGTGTTTTTCAGGGCCATGGCGTGGCGTCTTTGAAGCTCTCACTTTGAACGGGGCAAGAAAGGAAACGGCCCATGTGTCGCTCAGAGGGGAAACAATGCAAAGGTGGTGACCTCGCCACTTCATGTTAGCTGGGCTCAAAATCCATCCTTAATCCTGCCGGATGGCACTTGTGTGTGTGTGTTTCCCATTGCCGATTCAGGATCAGTGACCTCTGATTTAAGACATCCCCATTTTGGAGAGCTCTTGCTTTGCAGGTTAGAACGCTGGCATGACACCGGGTTGTCAAGTTGGTGGAAGTCTGAACCAGACATACCCATCTAAGAATACACATGGAACCAGAAAGATGGCCCCTGGTATCACAACATATTTTGCCAGAGGGACGGCTCTTTCACGTTCCATCATTATTGCTTTTCATTGAAGAGTGACATGAATTGATGTCTTATGTTATTGTGTTGCACGTTGCTTACACGACTATGCTTGCGGTAAAGGGCTGTTGGCATGTGTGGCGCACTCCGAAAGACTGGCTCAAGAGCGAGGGGTGGCAATGCCAAGATGGCGGGCGCTCCACTGCTCCAAGATGTGGCTGTCATCATCCCAGCCATGAACGAGGCCTGTGCTCCACGCGCGTGTGGGTGTGGCCTGCCAACAAGTGTCATTCAGTACCCACTCACCACCACAAGCTCCTTTGTCCCTCCTTCCAAATCGGGTATGGCTCAACTGTGAATCGCTTGCAGCGAGGAGAAAAGTCTGCCAAAGACCTTGAAGAGCGTCTTCTCGCAGATGCCGGCTCCCTCTGAGGTGCTGGTAGTGGATCCGGGGTCCGTGGAAGCTTGGATCGGTTTGGGAAGACTTTTGCAACAGGCATCGCCATGCTTCCGTTCTGTCTAAGGGTGATTGGATGTTTGTTCGATGTGAGACATCAACCATAGCTCAGTTGCTCCGGTTCCCCTCCAGTTCCGCGTTCGTGTATTCGAGTTCTTGGTCGGGTCGGATTTTGGGGGGTTGGCTAATGGCAGCCCGATTGCAAAGGCAAAAGCATGTATTGTCAGTCCTGCTGCAAGAAGCTTTCTGCCGAGGCTGCCTTTGATATTCCATCTGACGGTGGGAACCATGATTTCCAACCGCATTGCACGGGATGTTTCGAGACTTGCTGCTTCTTGCCGGCCCCCTGGATTTAGTATCAATTGGTTCCCCAATCCCTTGGGCCCCAAGTGATTACATTTCAAACAGTTTGTACGGCCATTTGTTCCACTAATATGGCGCAACGCCAGCCCACTTTACCCTAAGATTTGTCCCTGCCTTAGTTTCCAGGATGAGTCACATTGACCACCATTGCCTCGAGCATACGTGAACGGGTCAAAAAATAATTGTCGGATGTCGCCCATGTTTTGACTACTTGGCTTGGTTTACCCCATTTCCTACGGCCCATTTTCGTCATGACCCCATAGCCATTTGGCTTCTTTGGCCCATTTTGCCATTAAACCATGCTAGTAGTGAGGTTCGCCTCAAAGGGCCCTTTGGGGCAACTGGGACTGGGGTCCCTATACGTCTTTTTTCTTGCGGTTTTAATTCATCGCCTTTTTGCCCCATTTCAGCTGAGCTTCCCTTCATAGTTGAGGTTTTGAGGGGAACTCACTCGGGAGCCCGCTGGGAAACACCCGCCGCGCGTCGGCGCGTCGGCGCGTCGGCGCGTTGGCGAGTCGAGGACCGGACCTCGGAGACGGCCACGGCCTGCGGGGCCACGGCGCTCAAAGGGCCCCGGGGCCGCGCGGTGCAGATGAACTGCGGGGCCCGGGCCTCCAAGGAGCCCGACAAGAGAGCGAGCGGAATCCGAATCCGACTCAGTCCAGTAGTTGTTCTTTTTTGTGGTGTGTTTTTTTGGTTATTTTCCTGTGTTTCTTTTGTTTTTTGTTCTTATTCTTTTTCGACGGATTGTTTCGTACAGTTTTGTTAGGGCAGGCGGAAGGAAGGAATCAGCCTCGATCCCTCGAATTGGTGGTTTGGTGGTTTTGTGGTTTTGTGGTTTGGTGGTCAAGGAGGGGTTCCCACTCTACAGCCAGAGGTTCAATTCCGAATCCAAGCCACCAATTGGAGGGAAGCTGAAGGAAGGATGGTAAAGGTCAAAATTGTTGTAGAGGATGCATCACAATGAGCTGGTTAAAATCGGATTTGGAGCCTCATAGACCTAGTGACAGGGAGCACAAAATGGAACAGAAGCGCACAAATGACAAAGTTGCGTGTTTTTTGTTGGAACGTACATACAGATGGCTGGAGCATTGTCAGTGGTTGGAATGTTCATGGTTCTACCTATTTGTTGGACAGCCACAGGTCCGGATATAAAACAACCTCTGAGATCATACCCTCAAAAGAGACAGACCACGGCAGGTATGCGACCCACTGATATCGAGGGGCGAGAAGTTGGTTCCTGCACACATGATGAACTTGATATGAATCATGAGAGTGAGACAATGAGAATGACATTGGAATGAACTGTGAATACTGGTGAAGGGGCAGGTCAGATCCCAAGCTATGGGAAGGCCGAAGGGACAATTCAAGGCCCCAACGCTTTGACGCTCTCCTCGACCATTTTGGTGCCAGATTTGAAGCTGGAGACACGGCCTGTGAGAAAAAGCATTGGGATCTCACTATGTGTGTTTTCCCCTTGTTGGCTTTAAAGGGGCTTTAGGGGGAAGCTATGGCTACTGGACATATTGTTTTGTTTTTTCTTCTTCAGGGAACTTAAGCAGATGCAGGTTTCGGTAGGAAGTTCTTCTGGGGATTCTAGTAAGTGTCAAGTACCCTCGGATGGCTATCTAAACCCAATCATGTTTATTCGACCGAAAATTCCGGTAGTTGGCAACGGCTGTTTGCGTCTCAGATGCGTCTATGCATTCTATTGGGAAGGGCCGATGTCCAAAGGCTCCGCTGCACACGGGTACCCGCATGGTGAGTCATGGTCCCCACAGAAGGCTCAAAGATCGTGATGCGGTGGTCCAGGCGCCGGTGCTTTTGTTCCTCCATGCGGATACGGAGCTTCCAGAGGGCGCTCTGGAAGCAGTTCAGGCGGTGCAAGTTGTGCGGGAGGGGGGGGGGGCCGAGAAGGGGGGAAGGTGTGTTTTGTTTTGGCGGTACGCTGAAATGAAGACAACCATTTTTGAGTGCCCTCTAGAGAGACATGAGTCATAACCGTTACACCCCTGGTACCTTGAATGGATACCAAAACCACGCAAGTAGATTGTCACAAACACCGTCCAACGGACCAGCCCTTCGGCCTCCATCCTGAACTTGCCGCAGGCTGCGCTCTGCGATCCGGAGGTGCTGGGGGGATGTTTCGAGCTGCGCTTTGCGGAAGAAGCTGAGAGCCGCACACTGCAGCTTTGGAGCGCCTCGCAGATGGCTGGATGTGGGTGTGCCATTTTAATTTATGTTATTCGTTCTCTTTTTCTGATCTTTTTTTTTTGGGGGTGGGGGCCAAATGGTGGTCGTCCTTTTGATTTCGCTTTAAAACTAGCCAAAAGAGGGTTCCCAAAAGGACAGTCCCATGTCATAATTGGCATCCAATTTTGGATGGTTGGTTGTTTTGTTATTTGGTAGCTCGGTTGGTAACTTGCTTGCTTGCGTTGCTTTGCGCTGCTTTGCTTGTTTTGCTTGCTTGCTCTGCTGGCTTGCGTGCTTGCTTGCTTGCTGGCTTGCTTGCTTTCTTGCTGAACACGTCTAATGTTGACCCCTGATGAACAATCCCCCAACTTAGTATTAAGAGGACCCATTTGCAGGCAGGGATTCCTTTCTTTTAGGGAGAATTCCTGAGCCTGATTACCAAGCCAAGCCGTGGGTTGATCAGGGCAGATCTGACCCCACGGTTTTCGCACTTGATCCTTTGCTCAGTTGCCCATAGCGAGTTGACCGGATTTGACCGGGTCCATGTTGGCGACCAGTTTTCCCTCAAGATCCCAAAAGGCCAACTTGTTGTTTTCCAGGGACTTTGGGGGAGGATCGAATCTTGGCACAGGAAACGGGATTGTGAATTAGGGTCGCTGCGCTGCACCTGGGAAGCAGTGAAATCTTGCCCCGTAAACTCAGCTGCCCGTTAGATTGGCGGATTGGGAATTTGTAGAGGGTAAATGGGTAAATGGAAAACCGCCCCCGTAACCACCAAACTGCAACTGCCGGGCTCCAAACCACCAAGAGGGAAGCTGATTCACCCTGAAATTCTTCAACCCTGAGCTCTTTGAACTAAAAACCCAACACCAGAAAGGTTATTAGCCCTGGAAGCCCTACACCTCAAACCCTAAGCACCCTGAATCCTAAAGCACTCAACCCTAAGAGCCTCAACCCTGAAAAAAGCCCAACAACCCTAAACCCTAAATACCCGGTTTCGCTTGCAACGGGACCCATTCCTTTCACACAAGAAGCACCTCAATCACAAGCCAATCAATACCTCTATCAAATCAACAAGCGCCGAAAGAAAAATGGGAAACAAATCACGCGTGGATTGTGCAACCATCGCTTTGCAATAGGTAAAGGAGCCATCCATTGGCACTTGTGTCCTTTCACCTTTGATGTTTAGAAGGATTCCACTTCTTGAAGTTCATGGTGCTAAAGTTTATGTCCACCACCTGTTTTGTCTTGTTGTTGTTTTTGTTTTTTGTGTTTTTTTTGGGGGGGGGGGCAGCGGGCAGGTTCCCCTCTGAACATTCCTTTCACCTCCCGCTTTCCGCAGGTTGGAGCACCCGGGTGCAGTGCTGCCGCTCCAGCCGCCTGGTCTTTGGGGACCGGGGCATCTTCGTGCGGCGGAGCGCCTTCGAAGAGCTGCAGGGCTACAGGCGCGCGGCACGCGCCTTGGGCGGAGCGCATTCATAGCCCGCAGCCCGATTCCCCTTCTATTGGCCGGGTTCTCTTCCGGTTTGCCTTTAAAGCCACACAACAAGGGGGGGGTTCAAAAAACAGACCCCCCCCCCCATATTTAGGTGAGCCTTGGTGGTTTGGAGCACGCTTGTTTGAGATTTGAACCCGTGCTTCCTGATGCAAACCACCGGGCTCCAAACCAATTGGAGGGAAGCTGATAGATGTCCTGCCCCCACAGAATTCCCATGGAATCTGACGGTTCGGTTTGCAAGTGGGACCCTGTGGTGGGTTCCATGTTGGTGGACAGAAGGGTAGCTTGATTAGAAATAGATGGCTTCCCCTGGTTTATGTTTTTTTTCTCATTCACCAGGGCCATCTATTTTTCGCAGAAGGTGCAGTAGGTTCGTCTCATGTGCTGAATAACTTAGCTGCCCAAAGCTAATCGACCTGAAATGACTTTTTTGGTTTTCCATCGTTTTCCTGTTTGGTCGATATGTAGTCAAGGTGACAAAAGGTAATCGTTTTTCCAGGTCTTTGGGCAAGTGAGTATAAGAACATGTGTTATTTCCCCAGTTGGTTTTAAGACGTGAAACTATTTCATTACTGGACATGTGGTTTTGTTTTTTACAGACGACTTCAGCAATTGAAAGAAACTGGGTCCCCCTAGTTGGATGCTTCTCTATCCAGATACGAACCAACAAATATCATTTAAATGGCAAGAACAACAAGTTGAAGCCCTCTAGATTTGCCGTTTTTGTTGGCATTGTCTTCGTGTGGCGAGTTGTGATTTGTTTTCTTTGGGGCATCCACCTTGTTGGTGGGTTGTCAAGCAGTTTGTGAGGCTCGCTACCCGTTCTTGGGCTGGTTTGAAAGACAAGCAAAAGGAAAACCATTGTGGATTCGTGGACGCTTCGGATGAATGAGGACCCGAGTCAAAGGAACCAGGTCCCTAAAATAGATCATATCCGTAAACGGGGGATGTAAGGTCTCTTGACACTGGGCACAGGCTACGTTGGGGAAGTTGGAAGTCTGATCTGGGACCGGAATTTGAGAACTTGCTAGGCTTGTCTGAACCTCCCTGCCCCCAAAAGAAAGCAAACACATAAAAAAGAGAGTCGCCATGAAGAAGGCATCCCTGCGAATGATCAAAAGGCCACCGCCCTCGAGGGTGAAAGCTGTTCTTCTAGCCCGTTCAGCTGGGTTGTGGGCGGCATGGTTGAGCTAAAACAAAGTAACTATCTTCGTTTTAGCTTCCGACAAGCTGTCCCAGGTCAAGCACCAACTTTGGACACTGCCACAGCCAACAAGGTATGAAGGTTAGGGAGAAGCCAGCCAGAGCTGGGCGCAGCTCTCTTGATTCATCCCTTGGTTTTGGTCGACCCGTGCCTCCGCCAGTGAATGGCCCATCTTGGAGGATGTGGATTTGGCTGGAGCCCCAGGTTTCTGCTGCCAGCCAAGCTCACCTGACCAGAACCCCTGTTGGCCACTTTAGGTGGTTCTATATTCGATTTCATGGGGTTGTCTAAGGGTTATACAAACCTTTACAACAATGTTAGTAGAACCAAAAGTCGCCTGAGTCGCCTTCAAAAGGCTTCAGTGTGGATGGTTGCAACATCAACTTCCCACCAGTCGGTAGGCGCTGGATTTTGTGCATCCACAGTATGGCGCGTTTTGGTACCAGCAAAATTCGACCAAAAAGCGGCCTAAACAATGGCAAAATGGCCTGGCTGTTTTTTTGTCTGTTTGGTTGTTTTTTTGGTATGCGAGGGGGCTGCGGGCTTTGCGATCTTTTACAATCATGTTAGTAGAGCCAACAGTCAATGGTCGCCTTGAACAGGTTCCTGTACCGTGGCTGGTTGCGACATCAACTACTTTTTGTGCCAAATCGACCCCAAGTCTCGGTACCTCTCCCCCTTCGCATCAGGTCATGCGCTTGGCGCGGCAAAGCCGCCGGTCCTTCAGCTTTGTGCCGCTGGCGGTGACCACCTCGGCGCGGCGCATGTTGGAGGTGCTGCTTCCTTGGGCCGTTGAAACGCCAAGAGAAGAGAACAGAGCGAAAACCGGGATGGTTCATTTTGGCACCCAGCCGGTTATTTCAATACTTGTCTGGGGGCAAGGGACAGAGAGGTCCATCCCGGTCCGGCAGTGCCCCTTTCATCCAGAACAGCCAAGAACAGCTGCGATTTGTTGCCCCAGTTGCGTAATTACGGACGGATGTCCTGGACTGGCTGACGGACTGGCTGGCCCGCTGGACTGACTGACTGACTGACTGACAGGCTGGCTGGCTGACTGACTGACTGACTGACTGACTGACTGACTGGCTGGCTGACTGACTGACTGACTGACTGACTGACTGACTGACTGACTGACTGGCTGACTGACTGACTGACTGACTGAGGCTGGCTGACTGACTGACTGACTGACGCAGCTGGCGCTGTGGTAACTGACTGGCAAACTGGGCCAGACGGCTGACAGAAGCGGCCGCTCATAGAATTCAGCTTTGCTGCTCACCCTTTGGAGCACAGGCTTCCAATCTCGCAAACTGACTGGCATGGCTGACACGGCTCTATGAGTCACCAAGAAAGCACGACAGGCACGACGGCTGACCTGACAGGCGGCTGGCTGACAATGACTGGCTGACTGACTGACTGACACACAGGCTGACCTGGCTCAGGCTGGCTCGGCAGGCTGGCGACGGGCTGACTGACGGCTGACAGACAGGCACGGCTGATGCTGACTGCTGACTGACTTGGCTGACAGCAAAACTGCCTGGCCTGGCTGACCTGACGGCTGACAGGCTGGACTGACGACAGACAGACGACTGACGACTGGCCCAATGGCGCAGCAGGCTGCCTGGCGGCAACTGACAGGTGGCTGACGGCTGGCTTGAAGCACCAAGCTGGCGCAGCTGGAAACAGAACAAACTGGACCAACTGGCAAACTGGCGCAGCAGGCGGCTTTGAACTGATCCATGGATATGACAGGCGGCCTGACTGGCAAGCCGGCTGACTGGCTGGCGCAGCTGGCAAAAGACAAGCTGGCTGGCGGCACAACTGGCAAACGAGCGCAGCAGGCTGGCTCGCTGACAATGGCTGGCTGACGATGATGACTGAAGGCTGGCTAACGGCTGACAGGCTGGCTGGCTATTTGTGGCGGCTGACAGGCTGGCTGGCTGACTGGCGGGCTGGCTGGCAAACTGGCAGGCTGGGCTGGCTGGCTGGCTGACAGGCTGGCTGGCTGCTGGCGAAGCATGTTTTGTGTAGCGCAGCGACTGTGAAGCCCGGCTGGCAAACTGGCCTGGCCCGATGAAGCTGACAAGGCGGCTGGCTGGCAGCAGGCTGGACGGCTGGCTGGCGGCAGGCTGGCTGGCTGGCTGGCGGCAACTGGCAGAACGGCTGGCCTGGCTGGCTGGGCGGCTGGCTGGCTGGCAACCGGAGCAGCGGCAGGCTGACGGCAACAGGCTGGCATGGCTGACAGGCACGGCTGGCTGGCGGCTGGCTGACGCCGGTGGCGGCTGGCTGACTGGCAACTGGCCTGGCAAGGCTGGCGCGGCCTGGTTGTGCAAGCCTGGCAACAGCCGTCTCTTGTTGTGGTGACTATGGAGGCTGCTTTGGCTGGCTGACCCTGGCTATTAACTAACTGAAGGCTGGCTGGCTAACTAACTGGCGGCTGGCTGGAGCAGGCTGGCGACGGCACTGACTGGCCTGGCTGACGACCTGGCTGACTGGCTGGCAACACAGAGCTGTACGACTGGGATTGCGCACAGGCTGGCTGGCGTGACCCAATTGTGGGCTGGCTGGCTGACCTGGCTGTTTGAATGACTGACTGACTCTTGGACTGAAACTGCTGACACTGAAGGCTAGACTGACTGACTGCTTTGGACGACAGGCTGGCTGACTGACGGCTGACTGACTGACTGACTGACTGACAGACTGAGGACTGACTGACTGACCTGACTGACTGGCTGACTGACTGGCAGACAGGCTGTTGACTGACTGACTGACGGCACTGCAGGCTGGCTGACTGACTGACAGGCTGGCGACTGACTGAGCTGAGGCTGGCTGACTGACTGACTGACTGACAGGCTGGCTGACTGACTGACAACAGGCTGACGACTGACTGACTGACTGGCTGACTGACGACTGACTGCAGGCTGACGACTGACCTGACTGACAGGCTGACTGACTGACTGACAGGCTGACCTGACTCACTGACAGGCTGACGGCTGACTGACAGACGGACTGACTTGACGGCTGGCTGGACTGGACTGGCGGACTGACTGACTGACACATGACAGGCTGACTGACTGACTGACAGGCTGGCTGACTGACTGACTGACTGACTCACTGACAGGCTGACTGACTGACTGACTGACTGACTGGCTGACTGACTGACTGACTGACTGAGTTCCAAGTCTTTGTCTACCTTTCGGGTCACTTGCAACTCGGGGGAGGCCCTTGCCCCGAACCCAGGTGGGGCCAATCAAGCAGCAGCTGCTGCACCTGGGATGGGGGATTGGCCGGGTTGGCGGCCAAAGGTCGGTTTGGAGCGCAGTTCCCTATGGTAAATCCTTTGCTTTGACAGGGTTGGCGTCATACCCTGAAGATAAGCAGGCTTTTGGGCACATAATGATTCTCTTTTCAAGTCGATGGCCTGGAATTCGTGGCCAAGAAAGTGCCCCGCCCCGGTATGAGTGAGCAGGTCATGCTAGGATGATCGTGCTTGTCTGCTTAAAGTGGCAGAGGGGATGCAACCGTCCTGTGGACGCCCCTCACCCACATCCATGGTTGTGGCCTGGCAACTTCTGTGTGTTTTGGAGCCATCATTGTTATACCATGGGCTCCCCCTAAGTGACAGGGTCAAGGCATGGCCATCCAAAATATCCGAACTAAGGAACAGCTGCATCATCGTAGCTTGGTATCTCGGCGCGAGCCCTGAACGCCTGCGAAACTGGTACCGCTACAAGATGACGTGAGACTGGGCTCAAACCCCCGTGGTGGAGACGAAGCGCACGCACAAGAGCGTGCTCCGACGACTCTGCCAGCAAAAAAGGCCTGAGTGACATCAGCATTCGGAGAGAAGCAGCGCGCGACACGGCAACGTTGGAAGGACAAGCCCCACAAGCCCGAAGCCCCAAATCCTCAACGTGCCACAAAATCCTCGAAGTACCCAAAAAGCAAATCCTAAGATGCAAATCTCCCTTGGGGCGCGGAGGCATTGGCTGGGTCTTTCGCCCCGTTTTCTCAGGTGCGGCGACAGCATCGTGGAAGTGAACGGAGCTCGGGGTAGTTCGCAGGCGCCCGTGCGATTCGGTCGAGATATGTGTCAGGGTGAGGAGTACCCCAAGCTAGACGCAGATATCCAAGAATCGGATAGAATTGGATCACCTTAGGGACATTGACCAACCCTGGGTTATAGTCCATGGAAGAACTCAAGACACGTCTAGATTATCACCAGCGGGCCCCAAAATGGTGGCCTTGCAGTCACAGTCCCTTCGCTCATGTGGCACATTCTCTCAGTGAACATGGAGATGCACACATTCACACAAATGATCTTGGGAATGCATCTGCATGTTTGTTGGGCGTTGCCCACTCCAGATGCGATATATTTGGCGTGTCGGGAGAAACAAGTGGAGATCTTCTCCATTTCCAGGCAGCCTTTGATTGGTACATTCGATCGCCCAGCCTATCCAAGAGATAGAGGCGTTTTCAGCATGCATTTGGCGTGGCATCGAGTGGCATCGTGTGCAATGCTTGATTTTGGAGCATGGAAGTGACTTCGTGCCAGGGATTGCTGGAACATCTCAAGGTCGACACTGCCGCATGGTTGCGATTCAGGGCCAGATGCGATTCGGGGGAGACAATTCTCCAGACCATCTCCCGAAAGGCAAAGGCAGGTTCAGCGAAGTGTGGCCGCTTCCGGCCATCTGAGGAGTTGATCCTCACAATCAAACGCCCCATTGTGCCGGCCTCGGCTGCACTTCAGCCAGACAAAGAAAGAGCGTATGCACCTGGCCATGGGCGCATCACGTACATATCAGACTTCAAAAAACCTCATAAAACTATATTAAGTGCGCACGCACTCGCGATGCTGCCCAGTCCTTCACCATCAGCATTGCAAGAGCATACGCGCCGTCAGAGTCTCAGCGATGCCATTAGCGATTGGTTTTCTTACGTGCGCAAAGTGTGCGGAAGAGCGCTGCTTCGATTTTCAGGCTTGGATTGCAGGTTGAACACGCTCCTAACGGCTGGCATCTCAGTGTGCTCTCACTGCGGACTGATTAGCTTTTGATGTGCGATATGATCACACATCCAGTAGTCTATGGCAAGTTCAGGAGACATTTGACCATTAGATGTCACGAAACATCTACGGGGATCCACAAAATGTCCCATGTGCTGTATGGGCACCGCATACTTTGACCGTGTCTCACGTGTGTCAGGCCTGAAGTGTCTGGTTTCGTAGACTCGCGCGAGGCACAAGTCTACTTGTGAAGACTGCCGGGCGCCGATTTGAGTCTGAGATGGTGTCCATTTCCCCAAAAACACCTTGAGGGGCTTGATGGATAGGCATACTGTTGGGCCCGGATTCATAAGCCCATCCTACTAATAGGGGGGTGAGTCCCCACTAAAAGGGGACACTCCATATGAGCCAACCAGGTTGGCTTATTAATCTGGTGTCATCAGTGGAAACCATCGAGTGAAGTGGTGTAAATGGAGCCCAGGGAGCTGTGACCGAGGTCAACCCTGGCTTGATCAAGGACTGGAACTTGTCTCATCGAGGCGTTTCCGGTCTCCGGTTGCGTGACACGTGGCGTTTCCGGTTTCATTCCCCGGCCGAAAGCTATGGGGTCGATGGGCCAAGACATCGGCTGGCCTTCCGGGGGCCATCGGTACCGCAAGTGAGCGCCAGTCAGCAGAGCAAGCGGCAAGGCATGGGCATCAAGCGGCGGGACCGAGTCATCACTGTCAACGGCTCCCAAGGCAGCCTAGGCCTCAGAGGGATTCCCCAAACTGCCTCCGCCCAACTCCATTGGTGCAATTGGGCAGTTTCCGGAGTTCAATTATAACTGTTCTGCCAATTAGCACTAAAATTTTGAAACGGGTCCCAAAAGCAGCCATTCGGTCGAGGAACTTGGCGGGGACATTATTTGAAGTCCCATATTTCCCGGGCATTTGGGCATGTGTCAAAATACAGGGGATCCCAAAGTTGGCATTGCCTTAAACCAAACCAAGGGCGCCTCTCCAAACGTAGAAAGCCATTTTGGACTCCTCACCCCGTGAGACCCGGCGGAGCTGATGGCAAAGATGAAAATGGCTGCTGCCACGCACCCAGCGGAAAGGAGTTGCAGCTCGAAAGCCGCCGCCACGTGTCCACTTCGGTTTACGGGCAGGTGAGCCAATGTGCAAGGGTTATGGTGTTTTTTGTACAAAACGACAGGGTTTTAAGGGACACCTGCAAAATGGTTGGACAGGAATTCCGACATGTGCATGACGGATCCTCCTTTTTTTGTTGTGTGGCGTGGAGGGTAGAATTCTCCAGCATACATTTGTTCTCCTCAGGCCGTGTTTGCCCTCTACTTTTTCTCAGCATGAATAACAGCCAAACAAAAACATCCGCTGTGTTTCTTTAATTCAGGGTCATCCCTACCTGAGCACCGGCAAGCTTTTTGTTGCAAATTACTCGAGGTTCAGGGCGAAAGGCTCGACATCGAGGTGTGCCGGTACTAAGTCCTCCAAGAGGCGGGATTTTCGTGGCGAAACCGGACATCACCACCTAGAGCTGACTCATCTTTTTCCGCGTTGGACCCTTTCTCCTGCTCTTCATAGGCAAATTCTAAAGGAAACCCCCCTCAAGTTGAAAGGAGGTACCCTTGTTTTTATGCAAGTTTGGTGTGTTTTTAATACATGAAGACATCGACCCAGCTTGGCTCGCAGGACGCCCTCGCACCCGCGTTGCTTAGCCTGAGAGGGGTTTTGCCACTGGGGCCGCACTGCAATGAGCGGTCTGCCACAGCGAGGAGTTGTGCTCGTATGTTTGGATGGTTCCTTGACTGCCCCAAAAGTTCAACTTTTTGCAGGGGGGTCAGCAGCAACCAAGGTTTGTTTTTTCTGTAGGAAAAATGGTGCCACATGCGAGCAGAACGGGCAGAGTATGCCCCCAAACGGTCCACAAGCGACCATCGATCGCCTGTGCAACGCACTGGCGCGGTTTTAGGTCTCAGGGCGGCAGGGCCCTCTCCATCAGAGAGCTTGGGCCATGCCATGCCGAGAGCCGGCGGAAGACCTCGAGGGGTTTGATGTGTTGCTCGCTTTTTTGGGGCTTAAGATGCATTGGGGGAGTGACATCCTGGGCCAAGAATCCTTGGATCGCGAGAAGCTAAAGCTCACCAGGTGGGCAGCATGTTGAAATCGGCTTGGTTCTGGCCTTGGCAGTCTTGAGCGCGGAGCCGAGAGTCGTCTGGAAGGATGGCGCTCACTCCAGCATGAAGCCTGCAAAGGGAATCAAGCTTTCTGATATTTGACACGGGTGGTGCGAAAGAAAGGCTTCATGGTCTCACCCCCTCACTTGCGAGGGGAGCAACATCGTGGCTTTTGTCAGACACCGCTTCTGCGCATGCACAGTGCCATCGCTTGAAGGGGATTGTGCTGCGTCCTCTTCCAAACACATGAGAACCCCCGGAGCGATGGAACAGCTTCCACTTGGCCAGGCTGGGGTGCTCATTGGTGTCCGGGAAGAGTGCGCCACCCTTTTCCGAGTCCAGAGAGAGGAGGCACTTGGAGTCGTTTGGGTCCGAAATCATTGGGGGCCCGGGTGCTTTCCAAAGTATTGCTCTTGGTTCCCCCATTAAATGGATGAAGCAATCTATTTGCATATATAGATAATATGTATTTATGTAAACAAAACAAGAAGCATCCAGGGGCCCTCAATTTGAGTGACATTCCCCCGCGCTCCGCGGCGAAAGCTGTTGGTTGCCGTAGGGTTCGATCCCAGCCACACTCGAGCTGTCGCGAAAGAGAGAGAGAGAGAGACTCTGGCAGCTTGCCCCTGGGTGGCTTGGATTGGTTTTTGCGCGGGTTTTGGTAGAAGTTCATGGGAAACTACTTCTCACCAAACCAAATGAGAGGGAGGCCGAAAGAGCCCCCGGGCTCCAATCAAAATCAGGTTGAAGTTGCACCCTCGCCGGAGGACTTGTGAGGCTACTAAGAATGCTGAAGCTAAGTGATTCAAACATGTTTGGTAGCAAGGGTTAAAAGACCTTGCCACCTGGCCACCTGGCCACGACTCCTTCTCAAGCTATCGTGACGGCTTTCCCAGTCAAGGGCTGCTGCCGAAGACACATGAGTGCACGGCATGGTGAGCTGAGCGACCAGATTTGCTTCCATCACCGTATGGATCTATGTTTTTTTGAGAGTACCTTTCTTTTGCTTGCTGTTATCCTGCAGCCAAAACAAAAACCACTCGATTTGGGGGTCCCCGTATGTGAACACATGCCCATATTCTGGTTCATGTGGCCCGCTCGCGGGATGGCCTGGGCCTGCCATGCGATCCTATGTCGTGCTCTCCGCCTTGCTGTGGCCCGTGAGGGCAGAAGAGCCGCAGTTGCACAGCGGCACCCTTTTTCCCTCTTTTTTTTGGGGGGGGTGGCTGCCCCACCAAAAATGGTCTTCCCCGAAAAAAGGGGCTCCTTGTTTTCCATGATCACTTGAACTGAGGAGCTGCTCTTCAGGCCGGGTGCTTGAGCCAAGGGGCCTCTGTCATTCGGCTGAACATCTTGGCCCATGGAACCAGAAGCTGAAACCTCTTTGCCCTCAGAGCGCTCCTTGCCGCTTCTGAGGTAGTGCGGGTCGGTCGCACAGAAAGCGGAGCCCCTAAAGGTGGCCTTCGGGGAGAACCGAAACGAAGGGGGTTCGAACCGCCCCTTGCGGCAAGGACATCATCTATTTTGGGGGGGTTCTGACAAGTGGCATCCAGAGT